TCAGACAGAAATCTCCAGAGAACAGCCTAATAAATATTAGCATCTTTTCATAGAAATGTGGCTAAAGAATACAAAATTAATATATATATATGTAGATAGACATAGATGATTTAGAAGATATAGATAGATATAGATGAGTCGGTTCTGACTATGTGAGGATATGATTCAGTCCCTGTCCCTGCTTATTGTATTAATTGTCATCTTTCACCTTCTCCCTGACTCACAGAATAACCTTTAAGGAAATGATCTTTCTATGCCTCAGTTTCCTCAGTGACAAAGCAGAGTTGGTAACGCTAAGGGCATCTCCTCTCAAGTGATTATTTTTTACAATATCTTGAAGGTGGCTTTTAAATTATTCTACTTACACATCACTGGTAATAGGCTCTTCTTAATCATCTTCATTGTATAAGCATTAAAATGAAGATCTCATCCTACCACTCAAGATAAGAAAACGAGGTAACGCTCTTTTGATGTGTCAGACGTCGCTGCGCTAATCAACCAAAGTACATCCTGAAATCTTGACTTGTTGTGAAATAATATTCTTCTGAATGTTTAAAAGTTCATGCAGAAAAGTACTTTTCAGCAACCTCCCCTTCTCTGTCGCCCTGGGTGATTTTTCTAGATGGCAGCTATGCCTGGAAGAAAAAGGCTCAGGCACCTATTGTAGTACCAGCAGCTGAGAGAAGGTGGTGATTGGCTACCATCGGGGTCACCAGCCTGCATCATTTTTCTTAGATTAGGACCATATTATTTTGAACTTGACCACATTTCTAACCATTTGTGGCTACAATTACACATTTATGAGACGTTCTTATGGTTCCAGTATGTGCCCGCAGGACAGGGGGTGTTGTCTGTGCTAGTCCCATGATTCTGCCCAACCAAACTAAGTGACCACACTGGGACACTCCATAGAACCATTGTTCTTTTCATTATTGACAAGCATTCCTAGTTGGTTTCTTATTTAAACACTTGGAAACATTTAGTATGTTTCCATTGACCTGGATTATAGCACAATCCAGGTTCAGAAGACAAAGAATGCAAAGGTAACTGAGAAATCCCCTCTCTCCAAAATCACTGCTCCTCAGTAATTCCTTCTTTTTCAATCATGAATTATTCATGAAATCTATAGAAATGCCTTTCTTCAGGGATATCAAGTTGATCAAATCATGTTGTAGTTTCCATCCTACAAAGGGAAGATCGCCAAGATGCCCACTCTGAACATAGTTTTGATGAACAATTTTCTGACCTCTTTACATGAGGCACCATGGAAGATACCAGAAGGCCGGATCTGCTCTCTCTGTAGCATTCTCCCCACCCACGTCCACATGGACAGATGATAACTGAGACATGTGCTGTTCGAAGTAGTAAAGTGTAAATTATTGGTCTGGCCATTTGTGAGTAATAAAGCACAAAGCTTAAGTCTTAAGTAAAGCTTCTGTACTAGGTGGCAATCAGCTGAAATGCTAGAGGAAGCTACATGAGATCTAGAGCGAATCTCAAACTACTAAGAGTCACCCATGTCGATTCCACAAGGGAACATGGTTAAAAATCTAAGAATATCTGCTTGAGGCTAGCATGTAAGTATGAAAACTACTGGATTCTAAGAGAGTAAAGATTTCTTGTCTAGGTGAGAAAGCTTCAGCTCCTTTTGTGCAGTCTCTTGTGTGCCTTGTACTTATATTTTGCATAACTCAAATCACCCATGCTGTTGTGTCCCGTTTCATTTTTGGAGAACCAGCGAAGTGGTTTTGTTTGTTTGTTTTTTTCCCCTGTTCAAGCAGGCTTCCATGACTCGCCCTGGTTTTCCCTCCCTTAATATATCTTCTGATGCTTGGGCCAGAGTCCAAGGGGCTCATGTATGTGTATGTTGTCTTTCCAGCTGGGAAGAATGAGTTCCTGCAGCAACATCTGTGGGTCCAAGCAAGCACAGGCACCCGCCGAGGGTGGGTACCAGCGCTATGGAGTGCGGTCCTACCTGCACCAGTTCTATGAAGACTGCACAGCCTCCATCTGGGAGTATGAGGATGATTTTCAGATCCAGAGGTCACCTAACAGGTGGAGCTCCATATTCTGGAAGGTAAGGGAAAAGCATCTGTTTGATCCTGGAAGTGGAAAAAATATCAGACATGGTAAATACTGCTGCTCGAGAGAACTGAGTGGTTTGGAATTATAAGTATATGTGTCACTCGTGGTGACGCTGAATGCATCTTTCATCCTTTAGGAAAAGAGAAGCTAAACATTGGGCCAAAGGAAGCCTCTCTGCACAATATAATTATTATTGAGCAAGTTAAACATGAGCAGGCACAATTGCCACAGTAATTATTATTATTGCTAATGTTATTCATGTGCCGCTAAATTCACCAACTGTGAAACCACCCATAGGCAAAGTCATATTCTTTCAGCCTACCTCACAAGCTTGGTAGGTATCATGTGAAAAATTACAACAGTTATTAAAAAGAACTAATTAGGTACTTAGAGAAAGCAAGTGTTAAGATACGGTAGAGTGGTCAGAATACTGGCTCTGTGATCTGAGGCTCTCTAAGGTGCCCATTAAACAGTGGATTCAGTCTGTCCACAGATAATCAGTGAGCACACACTGTGCACTGGGGAGCTGGAGTTGTGGGTGAGTAAAGTGGTAAATGGGAGAAGAAAAGGTCCTTGCCTTCATTGAGCCTTGCAGTCTGTCCTGGGAAACCGCCATACGGTAAAGTCCATGGTGGAAATTCGGGTAGTGTCAAGTGCTATAGAGAGAAATCAGTCAGGAGAAGAGGAAAGAGAATAAGCGGGACTGAGATTTGGACATGCTGAGGGTAGAAAACCCTAAGGAAGAAGTGGAATATGAACACATGCCAGGAAGAGCAGAGGGAGCAGACCCTAAAGTTATCTGGCTGAAGGTCATTCCAGGATGGGAAAATAACAAGTGTGAAAGTCTGCAGGGAATGAGGAAGAGACGCACTCTGGATGGAATGGAGTAAGAGTGGAAAGAGGCAATGAATTCAGGAAACTACATACCAGAGCGCTGGTCGTTTCTTCAGAGTCCTGTAGGCATCGGTGAAGATTTAAGCTTTTATAAACCTCAACAGACATGTGAATCCACCCGAAGATAAGCAGCACAACATTAATACTTTAACAAGAGCCTTCTGGCTACAGTACAGAAAATAGATTATAGAAAGGCAAAAGTCAAAGCATCCAGATTAATTCAGAGACTGTGAAAATACCCAGGAAGAGATCATGGTGGCCACAAATAGGATGTTATTAGTGCAGACGGTGGAAAGTAGCCCAGTTTACCATAAAGTTTGAGGACAGAACTACAAGGATGTACTAGTGAACTAGGTTTGGAACATGAGAGAAAGAGGAGCCAATCATGAGTCCAGGCTTTCAGCCAGAGCTGTGTAATGAATAGAGTTGTGGTTTCCCAGGATGGAGAGCAGTGAGACCAGGAGAAACTGGTCAGAAATGTGACTTTGGCTATGCTTCATTGAAGATGCCTATTAAATACTGAAGTCGTGCTTTCTAAGACCATTAACTGTATCAATACACAGCTCATGGAGTAGAAGCTACTGGGCACCTGAAATGTGCAAGACTAGTTGAGATCATCTGGGAAAAGAGTGTGGACGTAGAAGATATAAACAGAATATTGTAAGCACTCACCTAAATCCAAAGTACTGGTGGCTGGGTGATTATGAAGCTGTTGAGCCCATCAAATAGTGCATAGTTATGAAATTCCCAGTAATGTACCAATTATTCCTTTCAGATTTTAATATTTTCTCCATTATGTTCTATACAAATAAGATCCAAAATTGTGTATTGCCTACAGTGCTAGACCTGTATCAGAGAAAAATAGTCGAAAATGAGTGCACTCATTGAGATTACACTCTAGAAAAACAAACCTTGGTCCATATCCTACTCATGAACCAATAGCAGCATAGTGTCAGGCTAAGTAATCTAAGGATTGACTGCCTTCAAGACCTTCTCTGTACCAAGGAAATAAGATGATGGTTCTTGGCTTCCTCCTTGGGATTATGTGAGGATTCAGTCCAGTGGTTTATAATATGCTTTGTGCCAACAGAGAGAAAGGAACCACTTATGCATGTTTCTATTATGATCATTTCAATGTTTTCTTTCACTTCAGGTTGCATCTATATAGTTGGAGCTGCTGGTGCCCCTCTCTTCTCCTCCACTGTGGCTCTGTGCTAGGGTTCTTTGATCTGTTTCTGGGGACTGTGTTCACAGCACCTCTGTCGACTCTGCCCTTGAGCTCCTAAGCAAAAGGCTGCATGGAGGGGCTTGAAGAGATCAAAGATTAGAATCAATGGGCTGGGCCGGGGAGATGACTCAGTAGAATAAGCACTTCCCTGGCAAGTGCAAGGGCCTGAGTTCAATCCCCAGTTCCACCAAAAAAAAAAAAAAAAAATAGAATCAATGGGCCTCAGTTACACTGGTTCTCTATCATATGCTTCTATGAAACACCTATCTCAAAATTTTCTTTCTACATAGTTTTAACTCTTCATCATGCCCTAGAGAATACAAGATATGTTCTTCACCTCTAATAAGTGATCTTATTAAATGATCTTATTATGTAATCTTATAAAGTTACAGCAAAATAGGGGAAGTGAACAGACACACATTGGGATAATGCAATGTGCTGAATGCTTTCCTCAAAGTAGTCACAGTGCTCACTGGAAGCCCAGGGATGGAGGGAGAGGGAGTTGTGTATGTCTGGTGCAAGCTGAAGAGGAAGCGGCTTACAGAGGAGACCAACTGTGCACAAGCATAAGCTGATGTCTCAGGAGAAAGGAATGTCATGCCAGTTTGGGATGCTGTGCGAGAGAGTCTGAAACATTTGGGAACTACAGACAGTGCTGTGCAGTTGCAGTAACTGTTCATAGGTCTGGGAAGAATACCAGAAATGGACTAGAAATGCAGACAAAAGCTGGGTCACAGAGGGAATTTGGTTGAGTCCTGCAATAGATATGGTTCTAGAACTCTCAACCTGAAGGTCAAGATAATAAATTTGGGCTTTCCTGGGGGCTTGAGGGAATGCTTCATAATCTGATATGTGCATGTGCACACACATGCACACACACTTGTGCACACACACACACAATGTACTGTCTCAGCCACTTCCAGTTTATCCCAATGTCCACAACTCCTTCCATCTCTGAAATTCCATGGGGTTTGGTTGCATCAGCCACTCAATGCTGCTGCCCAACATCATACAGGCAGGATGGGCGAGGGCTTTTTTCCCTTCTTCTCTGTACTTGATGTTGACGAAGGCCATTACCCCATTGGCACTTGATTGTTCATGCGGCAAACAGCCTCAACCTACAGGTACCAAACAGTCTCCTCACTCTTGGCTCTTCTTTCTCCACCTCAGCCTCATCATCCTCCTTTCCTGTCTTTCATCCCACCTCAGAAGTGGCTCAGAGGAGCTGAGGCAGACTGTTAAAAGAAACCATGGGTTAACTGCCATTTTTTTGTTTTTGGTTTGGTTTGGTTTGGTTCAGTTTGATTTGGCTTGGTTTTACAGTGCCAGGTATTAAACCCAAAACCTTTATAATGAACTACAGTCCTGCCCCTTAGGTAAATTCTTTTGTTTTTGAGATGGAGTCTTGCCATGTTACTAATTTTCCCAAGCTTGGTTTGAACTTGCAATCCTCCTGCCTCAGCCTCCCAGAGGACAGAGATAAAGACATGTGCCACCATGCCCAGCTTGTCTATATCTGAAAAAATTTCTCAGATGACACTTGAAGAAAGATCTGGAAAGTTCAGGAGCTTAGGATGTTGGGCAGTGAGTGATCAAGGCTGGATGATTTGTTTCAGTAACAGAAGGAAGTAGAGTAGAACACAAACCCAGAAGCATTGAAGAGGTGGAATCAATAAGATGTGACAATCTGCTCCCTATGAATGTGGGTGAATGGAAGGAACAGGAAGAGATGGGGAAGGGACTATGGGACCTCATTGTGAATATTCAAGTTGAAGGAGTCTTTGGGGCCTCTATGGATCCCCCACTCCCTGACAGATTTGCAGTCCAGGACTCAAGCATGCAGGCCAGGCTGGAGTTGGACAATGGGAAGTTTTGCTTGGTAAAAGTAGGTGTCAAAGCCACAGCTCCGGGGGCTACCTGAACAGAAGAGGTCTCTGTGAGGTGGAAAAGCAGATGAGAGATACCCCTACCCAAGGGGAGGAAGACCCGGAATCGAGCTAGGTGTGAGGCAGGGCCCGGACTTTAGCTTTCATAAAACACTGCCACCGCCTCAGCAGACACCACTACTAGCTCACAGCTGCAGAGAAGTCCTGAGCAGCCAGAAAAGCTGCTGCACAGCGTCCGGTCTTCACTGTCCAGGCACTTCCCTTGGGTGACCTCCATGCCAGCTGGCTCCTACTCCAGCTCCATCCAGCCTGTCCCCCACAGGCAGCTCTCCCCTTCCTTTAATTCCTGCTTCCAAATGTCATCGCTGCTCTTCCCCACTGGAACAACTGCACCTGCTGCTGCTAGCTTCACTTAGCTTGCTGGAGTCAGCCCAGACCCTAGTGCACCAAGGACTAGCAGAGGAGGGGATGTGGTCCAAATAACAGCCATCTCTGCCTGCAGTCTCTATCAGCAGGATTTCAGAAACCTGAGTTTTCTTCCCTATCTGATCCCTTTTTCCAGGAGAGTTTTCACATACCCTTTGCCCAAGCCAGGAGAGACCACACAAGTCACAGCCCCAACACTGCCCTGCAGCTGCTTTGGAATTGTCATGTCCTGACAGGGTCTTTTTCTCTCAGCATTAGGGCTGACCTCACCGCAGCGTCCCAGCCCCTGACAAGGCAACAAGGCCCTGGGCAGAGGACTGCTTTGCTCTCTTAGCCCCTTAAATCATTTCCCTTGTGCCTTTTTATTTATTCGTTCAATTTGAAAGAGCCGTCCTCCTTTTAGACCTAAGACTACTTCAACTTACAATAGTGTCTGAAGATAATTTTTATGATGCAGAAGGTTGTCTATCTTTTCTGCCATCCCGACATGGTGCTGAGATTAGGCTGGTGCATCCCTGCTGCCCTCCTCACCTCCATGATGGGCTCAGGAAGGTTCAGAAGCAGCCTCCCTGCCTTTACTCTCAATGCCAATCAGGCCAACCACTTCCTAGATGCTTTAAGAGGCTTGGAGGCCCTCCATGGACACAAGGCCTGGAGGTGCCCATGAGACTTGAACTCAGGGTCAGTATCCACTGCACTTCCTCCCTGCTTCCTCAATACTCTGATGGAAATAGGGAAAGCAAGCAGACCCCAAGGGACCCCGTTTCCAGTTCTCCAAGTGAGCAGGAGTCCTGCCATCTGCAAGCCCTGTTTGCCTTTTAGCTTCTGAATTAGATTCCAAGAGTGGATTTCCATGCAACGTGCCACTCAACCAAAGAGCGGACTGCGCTGGGAATCAGCCGCCAGGCTGCACACTCAGCAGTCTGGGCCCTGGGGTCTGTGGGTCAGAGAATCTATAGCATTTGGGGCCAGGAAGAGAGCTGTGGGGAGAAAAGACAAAAGCCGGGCTCAGGGCACATCTTCCATGCTCTTCAGCAGCTCGGGTACTAAACCAAGCTGCATCGTGCTGCCCTTGGCTCTGAGAATTAGCGCCAGCTCTTGAGAAGGGGAATAATTTAGCAACATAGGAAGCTTGTCACCATGGATATCTAAGTTAATTTAGTTTGCTCCTTCGGTTTTCCGATGTGAGTCATTGTAAGAAGTTATAAATAATGGTTAGCCTCTGAAGGAGAATTTACTCGCCACTATTTTTAGGAAAACAATTCACAATGTTATGAGTCTTTCCTGCAGCACTAGCCTTAAATGGAATAGAAGTTTCTGCTTTTTCAGAAGACATCATATTGAATCTGCTTTTCAATTTCCTCTCAATATCCCACAAAAGGAAGTTTGTTTATGTATCTACATTTCAAAACCCCCTTTCAAATTAAAATAAAATTAATAGGAATGAAATATGCAAAATAGTAGTTGGTAGGCCATATTGGGTAGATGAAAAGTGGAGGGTGGAGTTGAGCAGAACTGAAATAGGACTCTCTTGTGCCCCCTGCAATGGTAGGACCTTGACTGGTGCTTCTCTGGCCAAATAACCCTCAGTTTTTGATAGGTGAAGTGAGAATAAAAATACCACCTCTCATAAGATGCTTATAAGGGTTGAATGAAACTACATTTAGTACTATACCTAAGTCACAGTATTACTAGTTCGTTTTCCTAGGGACATGGGTTTATGGGTGTCTTTTCCTTCTATTGACAAGACCCCCTTTATTAGTGTATTACCCCTAAAATTTATGAAATAAGTACATACACTTTAAATATTCAAGATTAAATGGTGTTATGAACTTGGTCATGTATTTAGTCATTTCTCTGGCCCCATTGTTCCAACAACAATCAGATACAAAAGAAAATGAAAAAATTGTGTAAGAAATGAATAACTAAATTAAATATTCTTCACTCCAGTCACTAAGCAATTGTTTTAATGCTGTTGCCAGAGCAGCATAAGAGTTTTGCAAGGGATGTATTTCCAAACATTAATAATGATAACTGCTTATTAACATTCATTAATTAGTCAAATACCAGGCTAAGTGCTTTCATGCGTGGCCTTTTTTAATGCTCACAACAGCTCTCTGAGGTAGATATGATTCCCTTTTGTCATTTTACATGGGGGAAAATCAGTGATTACAGCACTTCAGCAACTTCACTTTCACAATTCAAATACCAAGTGGCTGTGCTGGACTCAAGGCTGCCTCTGTTTTTCCAAACATATGCATCCCAAGCCTCCCATAGTGCATCAGTTCAGGTCTCTAGTGTGTTCCTTCCAATAGAACTGGACCTAACGCAGTTTGTCCTCCATCTGCTGCTCCTAACATCGAGCAGGGGAAGCACACACAGAAGCACACCTCACCTAGCTCTAGTGCAGGGAGAGAGAGAACCCAGGGCTGGAGCCAGCTTCCGGGCTGCTCATCCCACCGTGGCAGCCTCCAGCCATGCTTCTTGGCCTGGTGACTTACCATCTACAAGTGAGGATGTGTCCCATATGTACAAAGTATGATTAAAAAATACAATGATTCTTTAAATTTTAAAAATTTAATTAAGTAATAGACGCATAACCATCACTCCCCTCAGAACCTTCCCACTCACTTTGCACACACTTCTCTCATTGTTCTGACCACTTTCTGATGCAGCTCTGGATGCCTTCTTTCACAAGTATCTTTTATCACACTGTCACAGCTGCTATAGTGTCCTGAATTGATTCAAAATAATGACCTTGCATGATCATTTTGACTCTGAGAAAGAGTGGGACATCACGTGGTGCCAGTGACACAGTGACTAAGATAGATGAGGACACACCATAATGTCTCACAAGCCTCTCTGTTAGATGGCCTTCAGCAGCAGCACTCACTGTAGTTTTGTTCATACTTTGTAAAGACATGAAAATGATTTTCAGAAAATGGCAAGAATGATGGGGTAAATGTGCTTGATGTAAGAAGTATTTTGGAGATGACCAATGGCAATGTCTCCTTCAGCATAACACATTTTATTTTTAAGCACTCAATATGTTTTTGGTTATGTATCGTAAGACTATGTCCTTCCTGTCCAGGCATAAACTGGTTCAATATGGCTCCTTCCCCGCTTCCTTGGAAATGGAGTCGATAGCAATCAGAATTGCCAGTGTCTGCCTGCCAGAAGCACTAGGGATGTATCTGTTCACTGTACGTATCTATGTGTTAAACAGATTTGAGTTTATTGCCCATTGCAAAGAAAGAACATGATACCTGAAGGGCTTGATGAGAGAGAGAGTGAAAAAGGACGAATTGTAGAATGGGGTTTTGGTTAAGCAACTTGAAGAAAGATCTAAGAACATGAGAGTTCACTCTGGGTTTTTAGGGATGAGTCTATGATTGGATATTTAATGTCTTACATGTAGGGAAAGCCAAGTATTGTGACACAAAACTACCATGGCGAGCAGAAGCAGCTACTCACATTAGCCAGGAGAGGCAGGTGTTTGGTATGACTTGCTCACTGATCCTGTTTGGGTAGGTGCTAGATGAGAGCCTGCAGTGGCCTTGTGTTGTCCCTCCCGCTCCTGCTCACAGAACTAACTTGTCTCAGCTGATGTTCTGTGAGGTGAGCCTGATAGAAGAATAGCAGCTGTTCAGTGGCTCCGAGGCAGCTTTGAAGAACACCCAGCCCCAGGGCTGCATTGGACTGCCTTTCTAGTCCCCAAGATCAAGAAGGCAGTGTCAGCAAAGGAGAGTTTGTCCCCCACAAAGCATGATACCAACTGAAAATATTTGGATCCAGTGCTGCAGCTTCTGGTTGGTGCTAAGATCCACTTTCCTTTTTAACTAGAAAAGATTTCGTTGGCTGCGAACATCCCTGCCCCCTCAGCTGAAGGGAAGGCTGAGCCTCATGTCCTGCTTCTGTCATCCTCTTTCTCTAGGTCGGACTCATCTCAGGCACAATCTTCGTGATTCTTGGACTGACTGTTCTGGCAGTGGGCTTTCTTGTGCCCCCCAAGATCGAAGCCTTCGGAGAAGCGGATTTTGTGGTGGTTGACTCACACGCCATGCAGTTTAACAGCGCCCTTGACATGTGCAAGCTGGCAGGAGCTGTGCTGTTCTGCATCGGGGGCACGTCCATGGCAGGGTGCCTGCTGATGTCGGTGTTTGCCAAAAACTACTCCAAAGAAGAGAAATTCCTTCAGCAAAAGTTTAAGGAGCGAATCGCAGATATTAAGGCCCACACCCAGCCCATTAATAAAGCTCCAGGCCCAGGGGAGACAAAGATTCCAGTCACTTTGTCCAAGGTTCAAAATGTCCAGCCTCTGTCAGCAACCTGAAGCCTTCCCCGCCCTGGTGGTCCCTGTGGCTCACACACCTCGGGAAAAGGGATGCTGGCTTCTGAGATAGCAAAGATTTGATGGTAGCCCAACTTCAGCTGTTGGCCAACAGGCACAGTGTAGGAGGGAGCTCGGATGTGCTTGATCCAGGTGTGACCCCAGCCACAGGCACCTGCTTAGTGCATCCAGCTGCTGTGGGCAGATGCACTGGGCCAACGGGATCCCCTCTGGAGCTTCTCTTTCAGATGTTGTGATCGTGTCTGATTTCCGGTATTGTTTGAAGTGCTCCACCATTGAGACCAGCTAATGTGGTTTGTTTTGTTTTCTAATAGTTGGTATTTCTACTCCCTCCTTCGTGGTGCTGTCTTCTACCTGTGTCTTTCTGTGTATAAAATGTTGTCCCATGGTGTTCATGGAAACCTGGGGTTCCCTGATTTTAGTCTGAACATTAGTCTTTTAATTGCATCTTACCGGGAAAGTTCCAGAGATTGGACAAAAATTTATCATGTTCCCCATAATTCTTTGTGTATTCAGATTTTTTTCTCAATTATGAAGCTCAAATTGCTTGACTGGGCATGGTGGTACATGCCTGTTACCCAAGGACTTGGGAGGTTGAGGCAGGAGGATTGATGCAACTTCTAGACCAGCCTGGGCCACAAAGTGAGCTCAAGGCCAGCCTGAATTGCATAGCAAGACCCTGTCACAAAAAGACAAAAAAAAAAAAAAAAAAAAAAAAAAGCTGAAATTGCCAACTTTAGAATTTTGATGAAAAATACTAATATTGAAAGTATATGTTTATACAGTACCTGAAAGCACTGTATTTAAAACCTAAGAAATTTGGATCCACACTACTAACTAGCTGTGTGTTATAGGAATCGTGTAGCTTCCTAGCTAAAGCATTTAGCTTCTCACCTTCCCCATCTGTGTAATGGGAGACCAAGGACCTGCCCTGCTCAAACACCTGCTGTTCCCTTTTTGCTGTTTGTCCTTCAGTCTCTCCACCAAGGAGATTTGTTACCTCGCGGATGTCAGCACGATGGGTTTTTTCAGAACTGAACTCCTAGAAGTCACTGAGTTGCAGCTTCACATGACGGACCCTTCGATACCCAGCCCCAGCCCTTTAGACAATGTTACCATATTTTTATAAAGACAACAGTAAGCATCCTCAAGTCAGAAAATCCTAGGAGATATTAACCTGAAAAGAGGTTTTTGTTCCTAAAGATGTTTTATTCTCCAGCAAGATCCCCCTCTTATACCACGTACTTTGATTAATCTGTGGAATTAAATTGGGCTGAGGAGAATGAAAGCCATGACCTTCGTGCTCTGTCAGAATGTGTGCCACCTTGGAGTTCTGCCCCTTTTTCTTTTCTTTTTTTTTTCCTCCTTCCCTCACTGGATAAGTAAAATATGTGAATGAGGCAAACTTGAAGTTCACGGTCATCCGTCACCCTGGCTGTTTTCCCTCCAAAGTGTAATTTTCCACCCTGACACTGAATACACTCTCATATTTCCCTGGGTAAATGGAGAATAAATGAAGCAATTAGTGACTCTGTTTGGGGTGTTTATTTTGCACTGTCCAACATGGCATGGGGGGGGTGGCAAATCAGCATCCCATAAAGGCACTTGGCTGGGTTTTGTAGAAATTGGTCCATTCCTCAGGTTTACTACCTCCCTGTGGAAAGACTGGTGTCATTTCAGTCTTTAGTGCCCACAGGCTTGTGTCCCATGCATGACAAGTCTACACCTAGCTTCTGCCCCGTATACAGTCAATCTTGGAGGATACATCTTGAGTTTCCAGATCCTCCAGAATGGAAAAAATAATGGTGCTGTAGTCTGAGAACCTTAGGTATACTGTGATCATGGGCCTGGGTTCCCAGAGATTAGCAGTTTGATACCATTAAATAGCCTTCAAGCACTAGGGCTTGCCTTGAAATCGTCTGGAACAAAATGATACAACTGCATGCTGGGAATGGGGTTGGGAGGGACATAATAGGATAAGGTTACAAAACATGCCTCTAGGGTCATGTCTGCATAAGTGCCTGGCAGGAGACAAGCCTCAAAAGACCTGGCCCCAGGCAAAGAAAAGTCTCCAGGCCAGCATGGGTCCCCTGAACTCCCACCGCCACTGACTAGGCCTCCCTCAGCAAAGGCCTTCACCCTCACAGGGCCAAGTTCTGCCCCTTTATGCAAGCTCTGTGGCCAGAAAACCTTCCCCCTAGGATGAAAGCTCTAACCGCTCTACTTAGTGGGTGGAAACCCATAATTCAACATTACCTCCAAATCTAACCCTTCTTTCACACAACCATCTGCCCACCCCTGTCCCATGCCTACATATTTGGTCTTTCAATTTTTTTCACTCTGTCACCTTTCTGGTTCTCTTTCTCACGGAGACGTTTAGTAAGTAGAGCACTCTTCCCAAAATTACCAATGCTAGATATTTCCTGCCTTGGTTGATGCTGCACACAGCATCAGAATAATTCCAATCAGACACAAGTTTCAATTCCAATCAGACACCATGTGACTTCTCTTATATAAGAAACTCAAAATATGAATAAATCAAGGGGCAAAAGAATAGAAAGACAGAGGTAATAGGAAACCAGATCTTTTCAAACAGGAAAGAGACCAAGAGATGAGGGCAGGAAGGAGATATAGAAAGAATGAAGACACGTTAGGAACACCAACTCCCCACAGTGCATGTCATCTTTATGTACCACAAACATGTACTAATAAAAATAATAAAAGCATGGTGACTTCAGAGGCTGTGTGAGCAGTAACTTCACATCCTTCCCTGCATCCTGCTCTCTCCCCAGCTGTGCATCGCTCTAGCTCCAATCACAGTGTTTATTCTCCCAGCAACAACCACCTGCTCCTCCTCTGGCTTTGAATGTATCATTCAAGACTGAATGGAGAAATGGGAGCAGTAACAATGAAAATTCACATGACCAGAGTGGGAGGCAACTTTGAGGCATTTTACATGTATGCATTGGTTCATGTGATCTGCACAAACACTCCATGATCCCAGGACTGTCATTAGGTGCCCGTTTTAAAGAGGAAGGGTCACAGGCAAAGAAAAGAGTCCTTTGCACGGGAACCTGTAAGTATGGAAGCAAAGCAAGATTTATCTCTAAGCACACTGGCTTGGAACTGATGTGCTTTCTGCCTCTAGAGATGTGTCCTTTCTGTTCTGTCTCTGTCTCTGTCTCTCTGTCTCTCTCTGTCTCTGTCTCTCATGTACACACACATACACACACACACACACACACACACACACACACACTCTTTAGGATTAATGATCTTTTCCAGTGACTTGCTGGCACATCTGTTTTTCCACCAGCAGCTACACTATTAGCTACTCGGGTAGCAGGAGCATACCTTGGTGAGTGGTGAGCATAGGAAGCAAATGCCTAAACGTACCGTGTTACTGTTGTATACTCACTTATTGCATTTGACATAATTACTCCATGTCTACTCAGAGGCAGGCCGTGGCTGACACTACCAAAAACAAAGATTGGTAAAGGTGCTAAATTACTAAATTTTTTGCCTGTGTGTGTGTGTGTGTGTCTGTGTGTGTGTGTGTGTGTGTGTGTGTGTGTGTGTGTGTGGCGGCCATTGCAAAGCAGCTCCCGGAGCTGGGGGTGTAGCTCAGTGCACAGTGCCGACCTGACACATGCAGGCCCTGAGTTTGATTCCCAGTACCAAACAAAAAGCAGCTTCATTCCTCACACTAAAAGCAGACCAGGCCAGATGAGTAAAGGAGGGTCTGAAAAGTGACCTGGCAGGCCCTGCGTCTCCTGTCTGGTGCAGGTTTTATGGAAGTGGTTTATTGGTAAGGACACTCCCAATTCATGAAGCAGGAATCAGGAACTACTATAGCAAATCAGCGGGTTTTGTTGTCACGCTGCATGCATGTGAGCAGTTGCTTAAGACATGTGCTCTGTACTGCCTAGAAGCATATACCTAGAGTAAACAGGTAAAACAAAACAATTTTTTTTCAGAAGAGGACTAACCCAGGGTGCATTCATAAGTGAGTTCCAGCACCAAGCTGCTCTTAGCCTTATACTTGGGTGGGGAGGTGCGGTCTGATGGTGGCTTGCCACTACTACATCCATAGGTAGCATCCTCCAGCAGAGGAACCTGACCACTGGCAGAAAGTGCCTGTCAGACCTTCAGTGCAGCTCGAGGCCCAAGAAAAGTGGGGTCTCCCGACAAGGGCAGTGAACTGTCCCCGGGCAGGCGAGAGCCTGGCCTTTCATGCTATGAAAGCTCAACCAGAAGCTTCAGACATCTAAGAAACCAATGCCTTGAAAGTAACAGTACAGAGGGAATAATAGACTCCCAGGAAACAGACGTGTGTCAGAAAATCACAGCAGAAGACATACACACACACACACACACACACACACACACACACACAAATCTAATCAGCCTATAAGAAGACATTGCATAAATAAGATAAAAACATAAGACTATTAAAAACAACAAATAATTGAGAATAACATTGCTAAGTGTATAAATTCAAATTTACTTCCTAGAATAGTAAACACTTTCATTTTAAAAATTGAAAAATGTGAAACAAAAGCTAAAGACCAATACCTTCAAAGAAACAAAATACAATGATAGTAAAATAATAGAGAATTATCAATAAAATTATGGAAGAAAAATTCTCAAGGGTATAAAATATAAAAATACTCAGATTGGAAGTACTGGCTACATATTCAAAAATGGAATTGGTTTTTAAAATTATGAACCTCATTTTGAAGGATATTTTTTGGACACAAACACAAAATGGAGCCAAGAATTTTCCAGTGAGAAGCCATTAATAAAATGATGAAAATCAAACAGGGAAAATATAGTATTATTTCATATAGTAAATGGTCAGGTAGCTTTGAGTCAACAGAAAATTCTTATTACTCTAATGAAAAAGAAAAAAAAAAGCAATTGGAATTGCAGGAAAGGCTAGGGAGATAGCTCGGCGGTCTAAGCACCTGCCTGGCAAGGACCCGGGTTCA